AGCACATACTTTGTCCTTGACCAGAAAGTAAGTTTCATGAAAGCTGGTTGAGAAATGAACAAGTTATGATTTATTTCAATGCACATGCATTGCCTTCAATGGGAATGTCACCGCCACCATTGTCGCAGAGCTGAGCTGGGCTGCTACTTATCGCGACAGTTTCAGCGCATGTGCTTTTGGAACAAAATAATAGCTTACCGATCACTGAAGTGATAGAACGTGGGTCACTAGCATGTACATTAGCATTAGTATGTAGCTACATTTCACTAGTGATCAGTGCAGATGAAATGCTTCAATACCCAGAAAGAGATTCACAAACGGCGGCGGTCGCTATCTGGGACTGTTCCGGATATTCAAATTTGGTTAGTGTCTTGTATTCTCAAGGATCAGTCTTGTATTTCTCTTTATTTACTTTATTTTTTGATGAGCACACATCGTGTGGCCTCAGATTTGGATCATTATGTGTGAGCCTACCAATGTTCAAACAGACACCATATTTGGATTGCGACAGAACATCATAACAAACTTGTGTTCCCGGTTAAATGGTAGTGGTTAAAGGTATTCCTAAATGTTACTTGAGACACCGTTCAATTAATTTCTTTGCACTTCACTTTATTCCTTGAAAATAAGTTGTTCAATCATTTTGTTGTGTGTTCCATCGAAAGTATTATTTAATGATCACATAGGAAAAAAGATAAAGTACAATTAATTTCATGAAATGTTAAGAAAACATTTTGGGGGTATCTTTATGTACTTTATAGTCTTTAAAATTATCTGTCATTGCTTTAATAAAAATAAAAAATACTCTATCAAAAGTACTAGTGGTATCAGTCCTTGGTATCAGTGACTACTCAAGAAGCGAGTATTTCTATTGGTCTTAATAAAAGTGGTATTGATCATACGATAATACCAAAGAAACAGAGATTGGGGAGAGGGGCTCCAATTGACTTTGACTCGTGAAGACATTCTATTTACAGTTGAAAACCAGAATTTTCAGGAGAGTGTGACTTCTGTTTTTGAAAGAAAAGTTATTAACCCGGCTCATGAAGCAGGCACATATCAGGATGGGGAAACTGAAATGGCAACTGAAATATAACAGACACAACAATCATGACAGCTACTTCATCTGTCAGTGTGAAATCTAAAATACAATGTGATATGAATTTTGGGGGGCGTGGCAGCATGAGTTGTCCGCCATTATATAAGAACTAAGCGTCTTTCTTGTGCTGATACCAATTGTGAAGTGAGCGAGAACACATCCATCAATCATTATCTGAATCGCTTTATCTTCTCAATGGTCGCGGGCATGCTGGAGCCTATCCCAACCATCTTCGGGCAGTAGGAGAGGTACACCCCAAACTGGTTACCAGCCAATCGCAGGTCACACAGAGACAAACAACCATTCACATTAACAATCACACTTAAGGACAATTTGGAGTGGTCAATTATTATTATTATTATTATTATTATTAGTTTTTGGAATGTGGGAGGAAACTGGAGTACCCAGAGAAAACCCGCACAAGCACGGGGAGAACATGCAATTTTTACACAGAAAGGCCAGGGCCTGGAATTGAACCCATGAACTCCTCACTGTGAGGCAGACATGCTAACCTGTCATCCGACATGCTAACCTGTCATCCCCCATGCCCCCTTCAGGAAAAAAAAAAAAAAAACAGCTGTATACAAAAGAATATTGTGAAATATTTATAGTTACAAGATTTTTTTTTTTGTTGAACATTATAGCAAGCCATTGTACCTTATATGTTAGACCATTTCAAGGCTTCAGATATTCAGCAGCATTTCAGTTCACTCCATGCAACATCAACCGGGCATTTACGAAGGCAACCGAACTTCGCAAGCACAATTTGCACACTTTGCAGGGATGGCGATTTTCCGCGGATACGCGAAAATCCGCCGTTTTATTTCTTAAATTGATAGTTTTTGTGAATCGTCTAAATCCGTTGAGAAAATTTTAGGGGGGGTTAGGTACCTTATCGTCGAGTTTTCACGAGCTCTCCCGATCAGTCTTTCCATCTTCCGATTGTAAACAGCCCTGCGATTGGACGTGTATGATGTCTTACTTGTTGTGATTGGTCACTATATCGGCAAATGCAAATCACAACCAATCCGTGTTCGCCTTCCTAAACCCCTTTCTCGCGAATGCCGAATGTTATCCAGACTCGCGACGAAGTTAAAGTGCGTCAGATAGATGCGGATCTGAAAAACACGTTTCGATGGGACTGGTTGGATAGAAAGCTGACGATGTCCCCAGTAGGAAACAGTAAAGAGGAAACATTGTGCTTGTGTCGGATTTCGTGAAAAAGCTCGATGTCGCCGGTAAAGCTCTGTGTACAGTGTGTGACGATGTCATTCTATACGGATCGAGAGGATGGAAAGCTTTACAGAGTCACGCAACATCGGTGAAACACCGAAAACAGACATTTCTACTGAAAAGTAACTACAGACGCTCCCCAGCTTACGAACGAGATACGTTCCGAAGGATCGGTCGTTAGGCTTTTTATCACATTTACACAACACTTTATGAATACAAGTAATGAACAAATCTTAAATATGGCAGGGAATGTGTTTCCTTTTTTAGTTTTGATTTTGAGCAGCAAATTTGAAGTTACATATTGGTGCTCACCAGGAATGCATAAGCAAAATTGCACAAATTTTCACTTGAAAGAATAGTGGCAATCTTGGGATTTGTTTCTCTTCAAGTTTCAAATAGTGTGTAAATTCAATACACTTCATCTTCAGCATGTTTAGTGCCGCTTTTGTAAGTAACCACGCCCCCGTCGAGGCCACGCCCCTTTTCGCTTTTTTCATCACTCTTGCCATTGCCATCACTGCTAATTGAAAAAAAAAAATCTTAGTTATCCCTCAACCAGACCATGTTTGCGGTGTACTAGGACATCCCAAGTATCCAACCAGACTACTCTCATTCAGATCTGATGTTCCATTTCAAAATGAAAAAGCCTATGAAATCTGACATGTTGACCTTTCCGCCCAATTTTGAAAAACATCTTAAAAAATGAATTTTAGTTATCCCTCAACCAGACCAGGTCTAGGGGACACTAGGCCACCCAGGTATCCAACCACATTACTGTCATTCAGATCTGATGTTTCATTTCAAAATGTAAAGAGTATAAAATAAAGATTGAATTTTCATGATTTTTTTTTAGCTATCAGGTGACATTTTAGTCAGTGATGTCAAGTTACCATTGACTTTATTTTCTATGTCAACTTCAGAACGCTTCTTGGCGCGATTCTGAGACAGTTTTCATTCTCCCTGGGTGAATTCATCATTGCCTGACAGCCAAGAAAGTATTTTATGTACCAATCTTCCAATGTACTTTATTGTCGCAATCACAAGTACAACAGTGCAAAAGGATGAATAAAGTGACATAATTTAAATAAATATTGCAACAATCTAAAAATAAATAAATAAGCTAAATATACTGTAAAGTAAAACTTTAGTGTTTAAGAATTTTACATGTTTATGGTGCATAGGGACGGGAACAAATGTATTGTAGAACTAGAAACCATGACTAAACAACAGGTTAAAGCTTCTTTCAAATATAAAGTGCAAAAAATCAAAGTAAACTAAGTAAACAGTTGAAAATTAAAACAAAATGCATGTAATAGTAATAGCAATACTTAAAGTGGTGGGCATTTCTGTAGTGAGTAGATTAAGAGTTTAGCTTTTAAGAATTTTATTGTCCTTGCTTTTTGAGATGCAAAGTCATTACTGCCATCATTGTCTATAATGGGGTTTTCGTCCAAATGTTTTTAATTTTTTTAATAGAATCTAGTGAAAATGCGCAATATGAACATGTGACATCCTCGTTTCCATTTATTGTTCTTGCAAATATGGAGGGGGGAGGAGACCACATCACAAGATGTCATATGAGAGCGTCTCTCTGCCACAGGACACTTGGTTTACTGTCAAATTAATTGTGTGTGTGTGTGTGTGTGTGTGTGTGTGTGTGTGTGTGTGTGCGTGTGTGCGTGCGCGGGCGGGCGCGCGTGTGGGCGCGTGTGCCTGCGTGCGTTAACGACCAATATCCTGACATGATAAGTAATCAGGTGAAAAAATGTTCGACCTTTCATATCTGTCACCTAATGTACTGCCGACACTTTTGTTAGTACTGATGTAAGTAGAAAGTAAGTGTGACCTTTCAGTGAGCAATGCAGACGTGTGCACTAGTGCACAATAAGCCATCTGTACGAGTTAGGGTGTGATGTGGAGCCGGGCTTTATTTAAATCCGCCAAACGCTGAGAGCCTACCTGGAAAAAGTCCGTCTCTGTCCTTGTCTCTGGTATTCTGACCCTGCCTAAGGAGATCAGATCAGAGGTGTTTGTGCACTGACTCAGACATCAACCCGAGGAAAGGTGAAACATAGTGTGTCCTCATTCAGTTACAACAGTGCTATATAGAGAGTACTAGTTTACAACAGCATTGATGTGCAATTCTTAAACATGGCTGCATTGTAAAATGTGATAAAAATAAATATTAAAGCTTTACTAAGAGTTTCCCTGATTATCCTGCAGAACTCCACAAAGAACAAAATATATACTGTATATTGATCATTACTGGGTGGAATACCAGTCAGTCTGACTGATTTTCACACCGGTGATAAATAATAAGCAAATGTACATTTTAGCAAATCAAAACTAAATGGTCATTCACCTATAACGTCATTCAAAATGAGAAACGGTGCAATTCATACTCACAACACAGGATGATGAAAATAAGTTGAATGAGGTCAATGATTGGTGTCCACAACAAACATGGCCAGGGCATTTGAGGAAATTGATTCTCTCATGTGATGACGTTTCATTTCTACTTTGTTTGTCGAATAGGACGAAAAAGTCCTCACTTTCCCCCTGATACAACTAGCAGTCTCAGTGTTCATCTCTGACCAAACATGATTTTACCCAACGGGTCTGATAACATTTGATATTTTGTGTGGCATCATTAGAATAGCAGAGGCATCATTAAAATAGAGGTTCACATAGTGCCGCGCCACCACCTTATATCAAGTCAAGCCAAGTACAACTTTATTGTCAATATTGTCAATGTTTATATGATTAGCCTTTGTTGCGCAGAGGTTGACATCTATTAGATCAGTTGGGGCTGATCTCAGTCTTCTTAGCAAGATCTATGTTCTCATTACCCAAGATTAATGACCCCGACACCCCACCCCCATGCAGCTGCCATAATTTCATGAGAATAACAGACATTAAACAATATATTTGTATATATCAAGTCACAAAATCGCACACACAGTTTTCTTTAGCTTGCTAGCTCGCGCCTTCCAATGCTACCTCTCTATCTATTTCTCTGTCTCTCGCTATCTCTCCCAAAATTGAATGTTATTGTAGAATGGCAATGTAAAGTATATTACAGTTATTGAACATCATTAAAGGCGGCCTGGTGGTCGACTGGTTAGCGAGTTGCCCTCGCAGTGCAGCGGTGCAGGGTGCAATTCCGGCTCCGGCCTTCCTATGTGGGGTTTGCATGTTCTGTGTGGGTTTTCTCTGGGTTTCCTCCCACATTCCAAAAACGTGTGTGGCAAGTTAATGGAACTCTCTAAATTGTCCCTACGTGTGAGTATGAGCACGGGTGGTTGTTCGTCTATGTGTACCCTGCGATTGGCTGGCAACCAGTTCAGGGTGTACCCTGCCTACTGCCTGAAGACAGCTGAGATAGACTCCAGCGCACCTCGTGACCCTTGTGAGGATAAGCGGAACAGAAAATGGATGGGAGTCATTAAATGTGTGCACTGTTTGTCATAATCAACGCTGTTGACCCATCAACTTCTTTTTGTGTTTGTACTCACACATAATTGTGTTACGTACATGAGTAATAATAATGAAATGATTTGTGTTTGGTCCATTCAGTTCTGATGGACTATGATATCTAGGCCCTACTGTATAATTGTGTGTGTGAATCATTAAAAGCAGACTATTAGTTTGTGCAGCTTTTTATTGAAGGTTCTTTTTAATTTTAGTTTTCAGTCAGTTATCTAAGTTAAACACCTCATTTAATGGACGGTGATCTTCCTATACCAAACCGTTAAAAGTTGATTGGATATCTTGTGGGGTCAGTGATGATGCACTTGTAAGTTTACTCAAGAAATGTGTACAAATAACTTCGTGAATCAGTAAAGACACTAACAAGATGACTGCTCTTTCACAAGGCTAATTTTGGCTGCAAACCGAGATGAGTTCTACAACAGACCATCGAAGGCTGCAGACTTTTGGGGGACCAATAGTGACATTCTCAGCGGTAAGTCATACTAAATTTGAGTCAACAAACTCATATGTGTAGCCCAATCACTTGTATACCACTGGGCCACACGCACGAGGCAGCAGGGATTCTACGGATTTATAAAATCACTGCAGCCACAGGGGCAGGTCACAATATATATATTTTTTGTGTGTGTGTTAGCTGCCATATTTGAGATGTTGATGCATGCAAACCTTGAGCAAAAATATCACAGCCTTGCGGTATTGCAATTACGGCTCAAAACTGAACACATATACCCAACTTTTTTCCCGCTGTTTCAACCCTGCGGCTTTTAATTGCCACACCTTATGAATCTTCAATAGATTTACCAACAGTGTTGTCGCATCTGACCAGTGAAATTACTCAACATGTCACGGTGGACTAATGAAACTGTCCCAGTCACCCCTAAATATTCATCAGCCATTTGCAGTCGGAGGGCACATACGTGAAGGCAGAGCGGGCTGCTGGAAGAGAGAAATGCGCAAATTTGTATGCATACCCTGATGAGTAATTGTCTTTACTAAGGTCAGCTGACAATGTTAAATAGACAGCCTGTTTGTGCTTTTAGTCAATGAACAGCATGCCAAATACAAAGTAAGTCCTGTGGCTCTGTCGCCACAAAGAATGTTAGCAATTCTGCAAAAAATATGCTTTTTGACCTGTCCTTGACTGCAACTTTATTCAAAGCTAAGTAGCTTTAAATCATGAAGGAATAGTCTCTCTTGCACCCCAGAATCGAATTCTCCTCTCTGGCACTAGATGTCCCCTTCTGCAGTAAACTATATTTAATTGACTAATGTTCAATACACATAATGGCCTATAGCGGGAGAAATCAATCATCCTTTTCTTCTAGAGGAAATTCAGAGATGGCATCCTTGTCCCCTTTGTAATAGACGGGTCAGGACTTCAGCCGTGGGCCCTTAATTGATGTCTGCTTTAATGCAATGTGACAGCAATAAATGGCACTGCCTTATCTGTGGGACTTGGGGGAGGTCCTGAAGGAGATGTACTGTAGCATGACGAGACCAGAAGTAAGCTACGGCTCCCAGGGGGGATTGGGCTAGCTTTCTGTCCACCTTGGGAGAAGTAAAATCATTTGGCTCGACTGGTCACTGTCAGTGTAAGTGGGCTGACTTTATTGATCACCAGCAAATGCAGGAGACTTAAATGACCTTTCCTTTGCCCTGACATGTGAAGTCAGGCAAAGTGCCATGGCAAAAGCACATTTATTGATTGAAATACATTTTTCATGATTGCAAAAAGATTAATATTGTGTGTCACTTGTCAAGCGGATAGTCCATTTCTATGTTCAGGGACGCACAAAAGGTTTATGCCTGAGGGATCCAAGATAACGCGCATTCAATGTGGGTTTTTGGCCTTGCAAGCAGTGATTTCTCCATGTTCTCGGAGCCTGTTGATGATATTATGGACCGTAGATGATGAAATTCCTTGCAATTGTACATTGAGGAACATTGTCGTTAAACCATTTTGACTATTTTTTCACACAGTTGTTCACGAAAAGCTGACTGAGGAATTCAGGGAAGCTCCTCTTATACCGATGGGTGGGGTGGGGGGGCAACAATCAACAACTTCAGATGCTGCTTTGAGGGCTAAAATTATGTGCACCCCTCTCGATAGTCTAATGTTACGGTGTACTTTCTCTTTTAATCATTTGGAATTACATTCAGCTCAGACTTAATTATTGTGTTTTTTCCTGTTTCATTTTGCATTTTAAAGCAAATCAGCTGTGTGTTCATAGCTGGAACCGAAATCAAATATTTGTGGAACATATATGAACACGTACAATGTAATCTGACGATGACACTGCAAAGCTTTGGTATTTTTAATGACAAAAATGTTGCATTTTAAGATAAAGATTCTCGCATTAATATCCCGAAAATCAGGTCTAGACCTGGAAATTGGTAAAGAAGGAGGATCATGGCTGGGGATCACCAAGAACGGGAAGCTGGCCGCCATCACAAACTATCTGGAAGGACGGCTCAACCCAGATGCGCAAGGAAGAGGTGATGTTATTTTGATTGGGTTTTTTTTTTCTTCTTTTTTTAAATTCGTTAGCTCCTCCTTTTGTTCAGTGTATATGTATAATTTTCAGAGTACAGTACTGTAATGCAATAAGTCTGTCATTACCATTCCACAGGTTTCCTTGTTTCCAACTACCTTGTCGACAAGGACTTGGACAGCTATGCCTACCTGAAGAAGGTCTCAGCAGAAAGTCATCTGTATAATGGCTTCAATCTTCTCACAGCAGAGTTCAAGTAAGTACCTGCTGATATTTGAGCGCTGGATTAGTTGAACTTTTGCTAAACCGCAGGTTTTAAATAGATTTCCGCTCTTGAAAGCTAATTCTATATTTTTAATGATGTGCTTAGGGCACTCACACAAGTATTACTTTTTCCAGAGAGGGTAAAAGGATACGTTTTTACTTGCACGTCCAAAACTATCTCGCGCATGCAAATCCTGAATGAAGCTATGGTGTCGTCCACATAGTCACTTGAATGCCCCAGATGTCAGCAGTCGTACCTTTTGTCTGCTTCAAGGTAAACAAGGTCTAAAGGGACTGAGAGTGGCCCTGGGCCACCACACCTTGGTGTCCGGCTACCACCTAATTAGAAATGCTGGCCCGACTGGGCTAGTACAAATTTAAAGTCACCAGAAATTTTGGGCCGATGAAAATTACCCTTAAGTGCATTTTTTAAAATGTCTTTTAAACAGATGCTGCATTCGGAAATTAAACACACATACACTCAGAGTGCTGTTAGGGCGTCAGAGTGAATTTCCGAATGCACTCTGTGTTGACTGCAACGAATGAGTTCCAGTTGGCCAAAACTTTGCTTCTAACAACGGCAAAGTTACCATCGGTGTCAGCAATGGTTCGAGCTGGGAGTCAAAGAAACAAGAGAGACAGGAGTCACACTGCAGAGATTTATTTATGGCACTTGTTCCCTGTATTCATTAAACTCAAATCAAGATGCGTATTGTCGCTCTACTACGTACTATATCCTCAGTATTTGCTCCTACACAGCTGTGTACCATGATGCTCGTAGACTACCATATTTCAGGCAGCCTGTGCGCACTCGAACCGTAAATGGCTGTTTCATTGGTCCAGTGTGATGTGTTCGGTAATTTCATTGGTCAGATCTGATGGGCAGTATCGGTAAATCTCATGTAATACCCCTTTCCCACTGAAATTAGCGGGTAGTAGTGATCCGTGGTGACACGCAACCAATTGGCAATATGTCCCTTTCCCATTGACCAACAGAAGGCGATTCTGCGGCCCTTCCACCACTTTGCGTCTGGTTACGTCACCACACCGTGATTGCGTAGATGATAGTGCGACAAATTTCTTGGTGATAAACAGCTTAAGGGGCGATCTCCTAGCTTTGTTGTGGGGGCGTGCTATATACGAGGCCGATGGCGCGCAATGTTATGACTCATCACGTACCGCCCTATGTCATCACGTAATTACCGGGAAGTCCCGTATTAGGCTTTCAAAATGGAAGCGGAGGCAATCACAACCTGCCTCCGATGGCGTCCTGGTGGACACGGATCGACACTGGCCAGTGAGCCTTTCCCACTGCTCAAACAAGTGTGTTTAGCCGTGATTTTGCGGCAGTGGGAAAGGGGTATAAGATTCTAGCAGCTTGAAACTATGACAATGAAGTTTACCTTCAAATGTGCTTCGTCACTCCTCACTGAGGTACATACTGTATACAGTATACGCTCACTTTGCAACCCAAAAAGAAAAGCTGTTTAGTCTGGCCATTACAACCTTGATTAATAATCTGTGTTCCATGTGCTATACACAAGTGAATTAGTCACTGAGAGCCGATTGCTTTCCAAGCACGTTACGCTCAGGCTGGCCTCAGTGGAGCTAATGGCATATACTTCATGCATATTTATTTCCGTCATCTCATCAGAGATGTGCTCTACTTGATGTGGAAAACCAACATTTCATCTTGCTCTCCAATAAGTGTGTATTCTGATCGCCATTACCATCACTCTGATTTTAAGTGAAAACCAATTGCACGGTTAATTTGGAATGAATGAATATATATATATAAAATTACACTTTATGGTGTCTATAGAAAACACATTTTGTTCAACAAATGTAGGGGTAGACACAATATGGCTGTTTTTTGTAGAACTAGAACTTTGAATATCAGAATCATACCATATTTTTTGGATAACGTACCACACCCTGTTTTTTTTTCATAATTTGTCTGGTCCTGCAAAATACACTCAGGTGCAACCTGTATTTACTAAAATTAGAGCTTGGACTTGGACCCAAAATCCCCGTTCCCTGATTGTATTGATGGCAGTGAAAGTTCTGGTTGCTTTCAAAACTTCCACTTATAACGACTGAAATTTTTTTTTTCTTAGTTTAAAATGGCTTACCTGAAATACTATCCTTTGATGCTGCATGCTGAAATAGCGAGCTACCTGTGGAGGAGAAGGTCACTTTATTAATTGCTGTGAGAAGCGGCAGCAAACTAACGGCATGCAATACGTCACACGAGTTGCCATTGTTACTTGTTCTTCTATGTCTTCTTTTTCCTCTTCTTCCATTTTGTCCGTTTTCTTTGGGTGGTTGGCAAGTACATTTGGTGCATTACCTTCACCTGCTGAAATGGAGGGTGTGCTACAATAATTTATTGTTATTATAAGTTGTAGTAGTAATAGTAATTTTGAATCAGAACATTTTGATAGACCTTTAATTGGGGGTGTTCTTTACCGACATGATAAGTATCAAAATGAGGCTTAACAATTTATCACAAAGCGATATACTGTATCACTTTTTTCGACTGATACAACTCAATACGATAAAGGCATTTTCGATAATGGTAAAAATGGCTTCTCTGTAAATTAGCCAACACTAATTAAAGGTAACTCCAAATAAACACAATAGAATGCCGTTTCAATGGATTTTATTTGAAAGCCAACTCAGCTTTACTGAGTCCAGAATAAAAAATAAAAAAAACTAAAGAAATCACATCAGAAAAAGCTTGTTCTCTTAATATTCTAGCATAAACAAAGTGAAACATAACAAGCTAGTTCTCTTTTTATTAACTTAAGAATGAGGTGGTTCTTTTTATGCAGTAAAACATCAATGTAAACAAACCCTTTTGATAAAGTGCTTCATATATATGAACAATATTTAATATTCTCTCTTTGTGGAACCAAGCAATAACCACAAGTTTACACTTGTATGTTTTCACATTAAATTAACCTACTGCTGTGATTGTTGTGTGGCACTGAAATTGTGACTGAGTATAGACAAACGAAAATTTACACCAGCAAGTAAAAAAAAAAACTCGTCTTTGTGTCGAAGGTTGCACAGTCCAATTCTCGTCCGTCTTCCTCAAGCAACCACTTGAGGTCCCAACTGTGGTGCCGAATTGTCTTGTCCAGGGAAACCAAGACCACGAAAGTCTTTGTAAAATGATGAGATTTATTGCAGCTACAAAAAATATGAGGAAGCACCTTTGACAGATCTGTGATGGAGCCTCTCCTGAGCAGTGCGGTGCTCCCTTTTTATACATTTTTTCTCTTCTTGGGAGCTGTTAAAGTCAGTGCACGCATGACTATCAGCACTTTGGACAGCTACACTTGCAGATGACAGGATGAAGTCTTATGCATGAGCAAGCAACTTCGCCTATCTGCAAATAACTTGGTCAGCATTCACAATGGTACAAACATTTAGCTTTAAAATACATTTTAGCACTGTTAAATGTCAAATCCCCATTACACAAACAATACATGAGATAAAAGCAAACTATTTCATGAATATCATAAACGCAAAAGGTAACAGCAAAAACATCTGTAACAGTGTGTATATATATATATATATATATATATATAAACATAATTGGTAAACGATGGTTTTAATCAATGTTGTACGAAGCAGCAGGAGAGGACCAACAGATCTCAACTTTCTTGCTAATTTGAATCCTCAATTAAATACGTACTGTATTAGAAATTACAGCACTTTGAAATTACAAATTGCACTTACTTGCACTTAGACAACAAAAGAAACACACCAGTGTGCAACAAGTGTGAAGTCCATCTAAACCAAACAAGCTGACCACGGCCGCAAATGATATCTGGTGTGATTCAAGTCATTTCAAATAAAATGTGAATTCAACATGGACCAAAGACAAAATTAGAGTGCTCACAGAATCAAATAATCTTCAAACAAATGCATTAACCCTGTTGGAAAAAACAAAAAAAAAGTCTTTGCATTATCGATACATGCTCGCGGACCTGCACTATTGGTCTGGTAAAAATTCTATCTGGAGCCGAGGAAAGTACACTGCACATAGCGATTTAGAAACTGCTTTGCCGCTTCGATCTTGAGGACTCTTCATTAGAGGTCTCCCGGCCAGCATGCCGATTACTTCGCTCAAAGAGATCAGTGAAAGCCTGTTTTCTGCCCTTCCCTCCTCATTCCCTGTGCCTCTCCTCTGTGGCTTTGACGTTCTGCTGTTCACTCGTCAAAATGTAGAAATGGCCCTCTGCTTCTTCTTACTAGTTTCATCAGCAGAAATGGATTATGTTTTCCTTCAACGGCCAGCTATGATAAATGCGTTTGAATTGTCTGACCACACTAGCAATGTGGGTGATGTGTTCCAACATGTAAATTCTCAGCTGTTGCTGCATATCCAATTTGCACAGGAGGTAGCAGCTCTTGTTAAGACAGACAGAGATTTCAAAGTGCCCTGATTCAACCTAACCATTTGTGGCAAATGAAAGTTATTGGTTATCTTTTTCAATGAGATAAAAGGAGATGCAGAAGACAACAACTATCCCGGTTGGAGGTTTTTTGTTTTGTTTTTTTTTTTTACTTCAGCAATTACATTTTCTAAAATGTTATACATTTCAATAATTTCACATTATCATGGTCGCTTGTTTCTTGATTGTTTTACTTCAGCATGATGGAATTGTAGACACAGATGTAAATGGTGCCATATATTATGCCCTGTGGTTCTTTTTGTCTTTTAACTTGGGCTTTAAAATTCATGTTACCTATATTTTCATATTTTCACCTAGACATGGGGCACATATTCAGATTTTTGTCTTCCTAGTTTAATTTTGAGGTAGTGCTGCGCCACATTTCACAATGACTGATACCAACAGTTGATCTGTCACTATATTGACATAAAAAATAAATAAACCTTTTCTTTTTGATCAAATGATTTGGACGTCTGTTATTCCTTCTCTTCTGCTGTCACAGTTGCTCCCATTCATCAAGAATAAATGTTTTCTCTATCACTACTCTGACACGTTTGTATACCAAGACAGTGGGCTCCCCCATGCTTGTGGTTCTACACCCGCACATTAACCGAATGTATTTTTTCTCTATATATTTTTTAATGATTTTATTCCCTCAATTTATTTTTGGGTGTAAATTGTAAATACATAGAACTTGGTTTGTCATCATTTTTCGAATATTTTTTGCAATTTTTTTTCCTGCACTACATTTCAGTATGCTTCAATTATATGCAGATTTTCACGATTCGCTGTGTCTGGTCCCGATCTCTCGCAGAAAGCGATGGTTCAGTGTACTAAATAAATGTTTTAGGGAACCTAACTATGTCTGCAGCCGTAATTTGCATCTTGAGTTAGACTAACATTTATACTGGGCCGTGACCTTAACTCTTAACATCTTCACGTTTTAATTTCACCTGAATTTCAGTCATTAATACATTTACCGATATAAAGCACCCTACTGATCCTGCCATTCAAGAAAATACATCATTCTCCGATTAGACAACTCCTTTAACATAATCTTTCCATATTTATTGTCGTGGGAAAATATAGAAACCTTACTCTGTTTGTCACAGCACACAGGTGTATATTAGCAATGCTATCATTAAGAGATATGATTTCTAATTTTTCATTTTATGTTCTCCGATGTAGAACCAAACAAGATCATGTCTGTTACTATGGAAACAGAGGAAGTACTGAGCCCATCCGTCTAAAACCAGGTCTGTTTTGTGTCTGCTGCTGCAGATTGTGTTTTGACTTTTACCTTCCTCTTTGCCTGCACAGTATTGTAATGTAATTAGTGCACCCCACCTCCCTCCTCTACCTATTTTGCATACTTTACACAGGAATCTACAGCTTGAGTAATTCACTTCTGGACACTCCATGGAAAAAACTGCTGCAAGGCAAGCGGCACTTCACCAGCATTGTCAACAACCAGTCACTGTCCTGCGATGGACTTGTGCAAGAGCTGCTGGGTGTACTTAATAATGAAGATCTGTACGTGTAAACCAGACATTCACAAATCCCAACACACTGCATCTGAACATTTTAACAATTGTTCAAACCGTATTTAAATGTAGTGCTTTAAAGTAGTTGTATCTAAATGTATGTGCATATGGGATCATTTACAACTCAGACGAAGGCTGAAGTGACAGTCAAAACTGTCAGCTAGGTGAGAGTTTTTCTCTTCACCAAAAAAGGACCATTGTCTGGGAAAAAAAGAAGCCTTAAACGTAATTTAACCAATAAGTAGACAAGATGAACATTATAGCACTGGGATCATAAACATTTCCCTCACAACACATTTACATTGAATTTGGTCTGTAGTGGTCAAGCCAGGAGCCGACTCGTGTTATTTGCACTTATTCAAAACGTTCAGTTCAAAGTTGGTCTCAAATAAATGTCGTTCTGAGATACCCTGCATATTTATTTAGAGTGGACTTTATATTGTGAGCGTGAGTCCAAGGCAGATTTATACAATAATGACGGTCTTCAATCTGAAGCCTTGGATCACTTTGTGATAAACTGTACTAAACACAGATTAGCAATAAATCTTCAAGGCTCATTTACAAGAGTCATTAATGTGAGGACATAGGTTGCATCTTGAAAGCTTTTGCACTATTTTTTTCCCCACCAAACACACATGCAACTTTTTCCATTGTGTCCACTTCCAGATAATTTGTGCATCTTAAATACGGTAGTTATACAACATAATACAAACATTTCCATGTGAAGCTGAAATAAATCTAATTTTTTAAAAATACTTTCGTTGTCTTGGTTTCCCTGGACAAGACAATGGAGTTTGACTATAATCATTCTGTGGCATGTATCACACTCAGCTCATCTCATGGCCCGAGTGACATGTACGTCCCTCATGTCAGGTCTTTTCACAATAATGTAGTCAATAAAGAGCCAATGCTTTGACCGTGGGTGCATCCAGGTTGTCTTGTACTTGTTTTTTTAATTGTAAAATGATATTAGTTATGCAGAGTTGTTGTTGAGCACAAAAATCCAGTAGCCCTAAGCCTTTAGCATTTAGACACCCAACTACTTCCCTCCCAAACATCATGGTTGTTCCCAACTCAAGCGTTGAAATCCCCGCGTTGAGGAGTATTTAGTCATTCTTGTGGATTTTGAGGAGGATATCATCCACCGGTTGGGACTCTATTCCGAAGAAATATGTGAGTCACACCTAAGGAACTATATCTGCATTGTGTGTCTGTTGAACAGAAATTCGCCCGATCCTGCTCAGGAGAGCCAAGGTGAGGGTTACAGCAAGTCCATGATCCAGGCCCTGTCAGCCGTGTGTGTTCGCACTCCTCATTATGGCACCAGGTTGGTTACTAACCCCAAATATCAAGCATCCCCCTTGCTAAGGCTCAGGTGCAAACGAAGTCTCTGCCCTGTTCCGTTTTTGTGTATGTATTGTCATATTGTTTGTTCTTTCAGGACCAATACAATTATCCTGATCGATGCAGAGGGGAACGTGACCTTCACAGAGCGCACCATGCTCAATTGTGATACAAAAAACTGGTGCACAAATTCTTTCCAATTCAAGCTGCAGACATGAAGATGTAATGAAAGAAACTCACTTTGTGCCTAATAGATTCTACTTCTTGCATTATCATCACCAAATCATCATTTTGTATTAAAGCTTCCTGTCACCATAGCAACTAATTGTAGCGTTTTGGACTCAACCCAGCAGCAGCTACTACCACAATTATTCCGTTTTTATTTTTGACTAAGGTGTAAATTATATCTGAAGATTATTTAATGTTTTTTTTTTTGATTAAAATGATTTTAAACATTGGAAATGTGTTGCAGTGTCAACTGCTGCCAGCAGCAATCAGTTAATCAGTCATGTAACATTTCAAAGACGTAACTCCATTTTTCTTTTACCGGTAAATCCAATTTCATTGTCCTTTGAGTTATCTGCGATTTATACATCTGTTGAGAGATAAAGGAAAGCAGTTTATCCTGTTTGTGTTTTCTTTGCAACTCTTATAAGCTATTGATCCCCTTACTTCAAATTCAGTCACAGGTCTGCTTTGGAGAGGGGGGGTATATATATATAGAGAGAGAGAAAGAGAGAGAGAGATAGAGAGAGAGGACAACGCAAATATGATTCCTACTCGAGAATACTTACCTGTGTGTGTGTACTATATATATATATATTTTTTTTTTTATTTAGAATACTCTGGATAGCTTTATTGCAGATAGAGCTCACACTTTGTTGTGAGTTTAATATTCTGCATCAATTTCTACAACGTTTTTGAAAATGTGATGGGACAGAAATGTGGGTGGGGGGAGAGAGGGGCAATTTTCCGTCAAATTAAGAAAATGCAAAGTCAAATATCTTTAACTTCTGATCTGCAGTGCACGACCACACGATTATGATATGTAGCCTTTCCGTTATTGTGTACTACCATCTAGTGTACATTTTTATGAGTACCCAATAAATACGAATCCTGTACATTACTTCAATACGTTTAATGAATCCAGTCAAGGATCTAAAAAAAAAACTGTCCTTCCAAGGAAGTGCCCAAAGCATTAATAATGGTATAACTTCAGTAATGAAATTATCATTTCCATCACAACACATTTACATTGAATTTGGTCTGTAATGGTCAAGCCAGGAGCCGACTCGTGTTATTTGCACTTATTCAAAACGTTCAGTTCAAAGTTGGTCTCAAATAAACGTTCTGGGATACCCTGCCTATTTATTTAGAGTGGACTTTATATTGTGAGCGTGAGTCCAAGACACATTTATACAATAATGACGGTCTTCAATCTGAATCTTGATGCCTCACCTGCCAAGCTTTTGTATGGCCCCCGCGCTGACCAAAAACATTTTTAGCATTTCGTTTGAATAATGGAAAATGTGTGCCATTCTTACTTTACGATAGTAATGTATACGATTACTTGTTGATATGAAGGGTATGTGTCTGTGTACGCACGGGCGCGCGCGCACACACATTCACACATACAAAGATACATACCCTTCACATCAGCTAGTAATCGTATACTATCGTGTACACACACACACACACACACACACACACACACACACACACACACACACACACACACACACAGAAGAGGATTTTTTTTTCGTCTTTGTTTTCCTAACAAACATGTTGCGAAGATAGTGTGGCGCCACTACTGGTAGACTCCAGCAGTCAGCACAGCATTCACAGTGACGAGTGGGTGCCTTTGATTGACAGCGTCTGTAACCAATGATCAACACGCCGGCACATGCAAGGCGGAGCCTGATTTTGAAGTGGAGTTGTGCACCTCTTCAAGATGGCGGGACTACAAATGAGTCTGGGTAAATAAGACACGTTACGTAGGTAGTTGGGTTCTGACGAGATACTTAAGGTATATGTACTGGTGAGTATTTGCGCAAGCCCACGTAAACTTGAAAGGCTTAGGTATTAAGATGGTTATTGTATATGGACGACAGTGTAGCTCGATGGTCGCTTGTTCGAACACCTAGCAGTAATGCTAATGCTAGTAGGGCCCTGCTGCTCCTCTGTAGATGATCTGGGCAACGTGCACATTTTTATAAATAGTATATGGCTTGGAAACGCTTTATAGTGAATTAGTAATTCAATTACTCACGATTACTCTTCGTAGATAGGTAGTACGACATAGACGGTGCTCGTGACCATGTGTTTGCTGATTATGCTCTCACTGTCAATTTTTTCCTAGCTGCCAGTGGAACCGCAGGAGGATGTTGATCGCAGTCTTGATCCCCCATTAGGCTGAATGCATTGTGATTTCCAATAATTGAGACAGTGATTCTGAAAGCTGTCTACATTAATGAAAAGAACAATGTAGTCAGCTTAGCCTATCCATCTCTGATACGTGTTCTATCCTGGAATGTGCTTCTGCATGCATTCTACTTTTGGACAAGAACAAATAATCTAATTAGTTTATAAGATAATTCCAAATATTACGGCAGTTTAGATTCTAAATAAAAACTATGGAAATAGATGATGTTCTCCCACCTCTCCCTTCGGAGCCACCTAATGATTTTGGCCAAGATGAGGGCAGAGCACCTCCACCACCTCCCCTGCAAACGTCCAGTGACGCAGAGGTAATGGACGTTAGCTCTGGTGGTGATGGATACATATGCACCCAAGGGGATGTCGAAGCAAATCCACAACAGCCCCTCAGCACTGGCACAATTACCTTCTGTAGCCAGCCCTCAAATGATGCCAGTTACTCCAACCCACTGTGCCCCAGAACAGCTCGTCACGCTCCCCCTGTAATCAATTTCCTACCTGATAGCAAGCTGCTTAGGGATGTTAAGGTTCGAGTTAGCTTCACTGAAAGCAGTTGTGGCAAAGACAGGAAGGTTTTGTATACAGGTGAAGAGCAAGAGAGAGTTAGTGATGATGGTTTGGACCACATGAATGGTGAGTTTGAGTTCTCCAGTGATCAGAGACTAGCTGAAGGTAGCTCAACAACAGCACATGGATCAGGTAGGGTTTTGGAGGTGGACACCGACCTTGAGAACAAAGTGGAGTATGCCGTCCTGGATGAGTTGGATGACGTCTATGAGAATTTCATGGATAATGAAGATGAAGCCAATGGCGGCTTTAAGTCCAAGGTCAGAATTCAGCAGGAGCCAGCAGATGACGAGACCATGGCTTACACGTATGAGGTAGGTCTGTCTTCCTACCACTGTCACCATGTCTTGTCTTTCTTCAAACATTCCATAAAAAGAATGTCTTAACACTGTCATTTGAAGGTATGTGTTCCTACTGACACTTGCATATTTTTTAAATTATGGCAACCCTTCATCGGTAGCAGTTTAACATAAACCTCAAGGATAGAGATCGGACTTGCAGGTGAGACCCCTTAAATCTAAACTATTCCGCAAGATTCCCTTGGATCAGGGGTGCCCAAACTTTTTGAACCGAAGATTGACTTTTTGATCAACCAACCTCCCGCGATCGGCACAGTAGGTTAAAGATTTACCTGCTTTATTTTATTTTTTTCATACTTTTGTGAAGATGAGACTGATAGGATGATTAGGGTGCAGTGTACATTAACACCAAAAAATATATTACTAACATGCACAAAGACACACAAATGATTGTTTTTTTTTTTTTTTGTTTTTTGTTTTGTTTCTCCTCTCCACCCCTCGCGATTGACTTGGGACCAATCCGCGATCTACCGGTCAATCGCGATCGACGTAATGGGCACCCCTGCCCTAGATCATAGGTGTCAAAGTCCAGTCCTCGCGGGCATTTTTTCCATCTCTCCCTGCTGCAACACACCTGATCCAAAATGATCAGCTCATCAGCAAGCTCTGTAGGAGCCTGACAAATATCCAGCGAGGTAGGTTAAAGATTTACCTGCTTTATTTTATTTTTTTCATACTTTTGTGAAGATGAGACTGATAGGATGATTAGGGTGCAGTGTACATTAACACCAAAAAATATATTACTAACATGCACAAAGACACACAAATGATTGTTTTTTTTTTTTTTTGTTTTTTGTTTTGTTTCTCCTCTCCACCCCTCGCGATTGACTTGGGACCAATCCGCGATCTACCGGTCAATCGCGATCGACGTAATGGGCACCCCTGCCCTAGATCATAGGTGTCAAAGTCCAGTCCTCGCGGGCATTTTTTCCATCTCTCCCTGCTGCAACACACCTGATCCAAAATGATCAGCTCATCAGCAAGCTCTGTAGGAGCCTGACAAATATCCAGCGAGAAGATTAATTCATTAAATGTTGATTGATATTTGGACAGAACTATTCTTAATTTGATCGCCATTTTAGATTTTAGACTCAAATTAAGGAGTTAAATGTTAATCTTTAAGTCATTCATCATCATCAATTAAGATCTCCTTGAAATCAAGGTTTACCTGTGGAATTTTGAACAGATGCCCCCTAAGTACCATGTGTTGTAACGTTTCTTTCCTGAAATTCTTACTCTTCAAGGGGGAATTTGACAATGACGTTGACGCTCTGCTCGAGGAGGGCATGCCAGTCCCGAAAAAGATGCGTCCAGCAGAGGACAAATATAGTGGCGATAGTGATCACCAGTCAGACGGCGAAGGAAGTGTTCAACCCATGATGACCAAAATTAAAACTGTCTTGAAAAGTAAGTGGCAAATATTTGCTTTTATTATGCACTGTTAAATATGTTTAATTATCATACGAAGCCTTAAATTTGTGTACAACTGCTGTAAATGGTTGGAATACATAGGTAAAAAAAAATCGAAAAACATAATTGGCCGATTATTTAAGTAGAAAAGTTGAAGGGCTAGAATCAGCCGATATATTGGTCAGCCCTTAAATTGTATTGACTACATGTTTTGACGTAGAGGGTGATATGCCCATAGGCTCTGAAGTCTGCACCACTGAGTAGTCCAGAATCACTACTAACTGTCTTTACAATGGGTGCATGTACATACTAGGTCGGGGACGTCCACCCACTGAGCCACTTCCTGACGGATGGATCATGACATTCCACAACTCAGGCATTCCAGTCTACCTGCACAGAGAGACCAGAGTAGTAACTTGGTCCAGGCCCTACTTCCTTGGATCCGGCAGCATAAGGGTAACTTACATATTTTGATTCTGCCTCATCATAACAGTAGAAACTTCTTGGGGTGTCCTGATCTGATGTAGATTTCAGATGTTGGTCCACTATTTATATTGTATCGGATTGGATTGATATTGAAACGGTATCCGATCATATCGGTCTACATTCGAAATCTACTGAATTAACACTTGCACACAAGCAGCCCATTCCAGATTCCGCTCCTGCTCTTCTATCGAGAAGTTTGAATGTGAAAAAAAATGCTTCTGAATGTACTGAAGTAAACTTTATTTTGGACTTCAAAGAGTAGTATAATGTTGTTTCATTTACTTTGTTAGGGTTATTTCTCTTTTGTATTTGCTTTTTTCCAGTGCAGTACATTCTCATGTTTGAGGTTGAATTTATATACCAGTGACCCAAATGTTTGGAATAAATGGGTCGTATTTTCTCATACCTCCTGTTGCTGACTATTGTTCTTTGAATAGTATCACTTGAACAAGTCTCTTCTAACATTTCGTACTAAAAAAAATTAAAATAAAATAAAAGCATGTATCGTTCCTGCTGATATCTTACACTACCCCAGGCTGCAATCTTGGTATCGTATCGGGAATGATAATGTTGTATCGGGACACCCCTGGTAACTTCCTATTGTAGATATATGGTAGAGAGAGGTCTTTGAACCTTAGTCGTGACCATCTATAACAGGGGTGTCAAACGTACGGCCCGCGGGCCGGATCCGGCCCCCAAAGGACTTTAATCCGGCCCGCGAGATGATTATGTAAAGCAGTGGTGTCAAACATACGGTCCGCGGGCCGTTCCATCAGGCCCACAGGATAATTTAAAAGTGAAGAAAATGCATAAAAGACACAGAATAAATATTTTTAATAAGGTGCAATTCATTGAGTATCCGCTAGGGGACACTGTTTTGATCAGAGAAGAAGACAACAGCAGCCTCAGTCCATCACTGAGACAGACCCATGACAGCAGACGCTATCAATAGCACTCTCACATTTACACATTTAATAGCACGCTCCTTAGTTTGTAAGGTGTAGGCAGGGATTACATTTAGATTTTATATGCACGTGTAAATGGTTTAAAACTTCCTTTCTTTATAAATCTCGTTTAATCTTAAAGTGCATTACTCTATTTTTCAAAACCAATTACTTGTTAAAGTTTGTACAATCAGTGGGATCAGTTGCAATGCGTATATGTGAATGATAAAAGTAAATTGCACATTTGTCGAAGGAAATGTAAGGTGCTTCATGAAATGTTTTGTAAAAGATATGTTCATTTAATTTCAACATTTTCCTAATGTTCTTGTGCTTCTTTATACCAAAACAAAGGAAAGACATATTGTTTTGGTTATTTATAGCAAAGTATGGTATCATTTTAATGGTCCGGCCCACTTGACATCTACCCAGGCCGTATGTGGCCCACCATGTGAAATGAGTTTGACACCCCTGATCTATAAGAACAATGGCGATGTCCAACAACCTATCAATTTACAGCCAGGTTGCTAAATATTGACATTGACACAATTTTCATAATTCCAGCTCTATACAATACCACAATGAATTTGAAATTAAACTAGGTGTGCCTGAAGTGCACACTCTGAGCTTTAATTTGGGAGCACCTGTATTTACACCCACATAATGTGAACGGTGTCGGAATTGTAACACATCTTATACATGCTTCCTACCACTTTTTAAGGGACCGAGATTATGTGGACAGTTGGCTGCTCAGCGTTCAATGGACAAGTGTGTCATTCCTTCTTTATTTCACTTACAAGGAGCAGATATTAGCAATATTGGCTGCTCATATTCAGCCAAATGTTTCAAAACTCATTGAATGGCACGTCACAATACGGATGGACAATGAACAGAAGCAGACTGTCAAAGCAACTGAAGAGTTGAATGAGAGAAGTCGAATGGTCAAGTCAGTCACCTGACGTGAATCCGATCGAACATGCATTTCACTTGCTGAAACTGAACAGGGTTCCCTCATGCATCCTGGAAAACCTGAAAAATGGTTTACCGATTTTCCAGTCAAGGTAAACACATGGAAAAGAATGAACCCTGATGAAAAAATATTAATATTGATGCAGATTGTGTTGTCATTGAATCATTTATGCTTGAACTGACCAGTGTGCTAAAATAATGAAAACAGTTGCAAAGACCACAATTATAATGGTTGAAAAACATCTTGCAGCTGTTTGCAAATTTGATCAAACCCTGACCAAAAAAAAAAAAAAGCTACATGCACACACACTTGCAATCTTGCAAGCTGTATTCCATCGTCTTGACTTACCGGTGAAAATAATTTAAATGTCAGCCTTCAAGTGAGACCTTAGGTTAGTGACATTCTTTTGAACGATTCTTTTGGGGATGAATGATAATGATGAAGAAACAGGATATGAAGACAGCTGTTGCAGAGCCCTTCACAAGAGACAAAACACAGTGTCTGTTGATGCCCATGCGTTCGAGGCCTCAGGCTGTCATTGATTTGGGGGGAAAAAAACCAACATTGTATTGAAAAGTGACAGTTTGGTTCTTGATTGTTAGTTTGTCCAAATATTTTTGATCCCTTAAAAAGTGAAAGGCACACATAAATGTGTTATAATTCCGACACCTCTCACCTGATCATGGTGTAAATAACCCAAAATTTAAGCTCAGTCTGCACTTCAAGCACATCTTGATTGTTTCATTTGTTGTACAGAGCTGAAATGCTGCAAATTGCGTCAGTGTCCAAATATTTAGGGACCTGACCCTAAGTATTTAAAGTGCTCTTTCCCCTGTTTTTCACAACACTTGGTCTGCCACTGTGATCTAGAAACATGATCCTCCAACCAGCAGCATCCCCTGCTTACACTATAAGAAGATGAAGGAACATGAAGAGAAGGAACTGAACGGCGTTGTGAATCCACAAGCAGAAGTGTTTCCTGTTAAGCCCAGCGAGGAGGCAAATGGTGACGACCATGTAGAGAACTCAGAAAACACAGCTGAGGTGCACGATGGCATGCCCGCTTCCACTCCTGCTGACTGTGGCCCAGAGCCTGAGGGCATCACCAATGAGAGTCAGCCTGGTAAAGAGGCCCCAACCTGCGACATTGCTCAAGGAGCCCTTGGACAAGTCAGGGCCAAAGTGGAAGTATGCAAAGATGAGTCCATTGGTAAGATCTTTTCACTGCAAGACTAATTAATGTTTGTGCATGATGTTTGTTCATTTCAAGGTACCGGAGCTTCTAACTGAAAGCAATGCTTTCCAGTTATTTTCTGTTACGGCGCCCTGCTAGGAACAAGACAACGCTCTGCCGCAACTTCAAATAGAATAATTCGTCTATTAAATTGTTACAATTCTGCATGTCATTGTATCCTTAACATTAATGAAAACAAAAGAAATAGCGATCAACCAAAATGATTTTTATTGGCAATGTTTTATCCGTGTTTGTTCACTGCACTTCATTTCTCCCGCTCTGTGCTGTGTGTATGCATGCTTTGTGCAAAAAGAAAAGAAAATGCTCTTCAGAACGTACACACTGCAGCTTATTTATTTCTTGACCGATGTACGACATGCATCTGCATTTTTTTCATACAGTGTGAATAGTATCATTTAAATTTGTTTTTGTAAACTATTGAAATAGATTGAACAAAAAAAAAATCAGAACTGGGCTTCAGGTCCTGCTTTGTGAGCATATTTATCCACATATTTATCTATCCACACTTATCCACCCTGCAGACACTCTGACAGTGAGAGCACCACTGCCACCTACTGTAATGGATATGCAATTACACCTTATTGCTGATGCGACAAAAAAAAAAAAAGCATGTTCCATGAGGTTCAAGCGCGCCCCTTAGCATCATACCCGTACCCACTGTTTAATAAGTACTGAATTAATAAGGTGGGAATGTGGTCCACGTTTCCAAGGTGTTTGAAAGCTTTGTTTTCCCAAGATAGCATTAAATAAACCACAGCATTATTGCTATAAATCCTTTGCAGAACTTGAAGACTTTCGCCTATACCTGGAAAAGTGCTTTGACTTTGAACAAGTGACAGTGAAGAAGTTCCGCACATGGGCTGAGCGAAGGCAGTTTAACAGGGACATGAAGAGGAAACAGGCTGAATCCGAGAGGCCAATCCTGCCTGCAAACCAGAAACTCATTACACTGTCAGTCCAAGATGCACCTACTAAGAAAGGTACAATACGTTATATATATCAAATGTCGAATAGTCGAATGATACTTTTGACATAGATGGTGTTTCAAAAAATGTACGTGTGTACAACAGTCAATAGAAAGAATAGAAAAAAAATGAAAACTGTCTCAATTTTGTTTTTGACTCAGCAATGAAGGTAATCATGTTCTTTCTATGTTGACTTACTTTATATTCATCAGAATTTGTCATCAATCCCAATGGGAAGTCTGAAGTTTGCATCTTACATGAATACATGCAGCGTGTCCTTAAGGTTCGGCCTGTTTACAACTTCTTTGAATGTGGTAAGTTTCACCTTGAGAAAAGTTGATTCTTTGAAAGCCCCCCTGACACTCTGAAGTTGAAGTCTGTAGCCAGTATCTCACTGGCGGTTAAGGTTTGCAAGTGTGTGCACACTTAGTGATTTATTTATTTATTTTGGTCAGGGATTGTTCAATGTTGCAAAGCCATTTGCCAGACATCCCCAACAGTTGTAATGGTAATGACACAAAAAAAAAAACAAACGTTCGCTAAGTGCGCACACACTTGCAAACCTTGGCCCGCTGAGTGAAGTACGGCCTTAAAGCCTTTTCAGTCATTGAGCCATGTTTTTGTCCCCTGCAGAGAACCCAAGTGAACCCTTTGGCGCGTGTGTCATTATAGACGGCGTCACCTACGGCACAGGGACTGCAAGTAGTAAAAAACTTGCCAAGAATAAAGCTGGTAATTTAACTGGACACTTTGTGGGATGGTGCACATTATAATACCATATAAAGTAGGGATGGAATGATAATGGCGATATTAAAGGATATTGTCGCCATATTAGGATTTTAAAAGAAAAAAAAAATACTTTTCACCCACTTCAGCTAAACACAGCATTGGGAACTACATGATACTGTGCACTGCTTAGTCAAGAGGAACACATGACCAAAAAAAAAATGACTGGCTCAGAATATTCCTATAATATTGTGTGTTTATGAGCTTTTTTTTTCTGCCAATATCATGGCTTTTTAAATGTACTGTAATGTGACTGTTTTTTTTTTTAATTGCCAACCTCCCCCACAATATTAGGATAATTATAGTATTGCGAGGGTCATGTCGTGATATTGTATTGTGACATTTGCATATCATTACATCCCTAATATAAAGCGGCGGTGGTGCGATTGCATGTTACTTTGCTCACCTTCCTCTGAATTTTATGTATACTGCAGCAAGAGCCACACTGGAAATCCTTATACCAGACTTTGTGAAGCAGACTTCTGAGGAAAAGCCTGTTGAGGCAGATGAACTTGAGGTACATTCAATCTTTCCTTAGGAACAATCTTGGAGTGAGCATGCATATCAACTGTGTGTCGGTGAATGTCTCTTAAGAGAAATGACAGGACGACTAATGTTGAGCGTTTTACCCCACAGTATTTTAACCATATCAGTATAGAAGACTCGAGAGTGTATGAGCTGACCAACAAAGCTGGGCTTCTTTCACCGTATCAGATTCTTCATGAGTGCCTTAAAAGGTGGGTGGACAATCTTGCAACCACACAAGCAGTTCCATCAATAGTTTTGAAATAGAGAGCAATATGACATCTTGGGTGGTAAAATCAAATGTACTCCCTCCTATTACAGCCGAGATAGGGGGTTACATCGAAAATGGCTATTTTCTCAACTCTTGACTCTCTTTAGATGCTGAAGCCCAATTCGCAGTCTCAAATATTGTTGGTCACGTTTTGTTGAGAGGCTGGACGCAGTCTTATTTGTCATCAAGCAGACGTAAAACTGAGCAACAGCAGTCCAAAAGCACATCACATGTGAACTGTTTACAAAATGGTCAAACTACAGTACATGTTTTCGCATGACTAACACTCAAGTGTTGTAGCCCCCAGACGCATGAAATCATACCTGATGTTCTTGGGACCCCAATCAATATGGTACCTGGCAAACATCTGATGGTTAACATAAGCACAAAGTTGGATGCACTTGTTGCTTTGCGGGCTCTTTGTCCACAAAATGAAAGGAGCACATGTATAACATTAGTATTGTCTTTTCAAATTCCGATTTTCAGCCTAATCCTTCTGTGTTCCTCATCCCCACGTAGGTGGTAGGAACTCTATTGATAATTTATGAGAATATTCTCTCTTTGCCCCGCTTGCATGTTCAAATTTGTTCTTGAAGCCACAATTCATCTCCTGGTTGTTGTTGGTACTTTGTCCAACAGCGAACAGCGCAGTAAGTTGCAAAGATGTGCTGTGTGAACAAGTTGCTGCGGTGGCTAAAGAATGTTGAGAAAAGGAAACCAAAAAAAACAAACAAAAAACGCTCAAATAAACCACTCCGGGTCACAAAAGGTGCACCAACAAATGGCTCACTGCTACTTCTGATGTCTCATAGAAAGTCATGTCCAAAGTCGTTTCTACATCAGATCGCCCCTGAATAAGAAAATAGAACTGAATAAAATCAAAAGCAAATTGCCTTTTAGTACAACTGCGAGTTATTTATTCTGTTCCAACTAATCTTGGTATGCAATTGTGTTTGCGCGTTATTAACTATTCTCTTGACTACCTATAGAAACCATGGGATGGGAGACACGAGCATAAAATTTGAGGTGATACCAGGGAAGAATCAGAAGAGTGAATATGTGATGACTTGTGGCAAGCATACTGTGCGCGGTTGGTGTAAGTGGTTTCCTTTCTTCCTCGTTTTGTCTTAGAGATGTTTTCATTTCAATTTTTTGTGATGTGAAATAGAAAATGTTGCCAGTTTTGCATGTCAGAGGAGGATGATACCTGGATTGACATCTGCCTAGAAAGTACATTCATTTTTGTTTTATCTCTCCAACCAGGCAAGAACAAGAGAGTTGGCAAACAGTTAGCATCTCAGAAGATTTTGCAAATGCTTCATCCTCATGTGAAGAACTGGGGCTCACTGCTGCGAATGTATGGCCGAGAGAGTAATAAGATGGTCAAGAAGGTAGGTTTTAGTTTTCACGAGGTCCATAATTTTTGAGAGCACGGTCTCTCACAGTTCATTTTAGGTTAAGGGTCGCTCACGTCATAGTGGGATGTGGCTGCTTACCACATTAGACAGCAACCTCACTGACTACTTTCAACGCCTCACTGACTTGATGTGCCTGTTTCATATAGGAGAGCTCAGACAAAAGTGTGATTGAACTTCAACAATTTGCTAAGAAGAACAAACCAAACCTCCATATCTTGAATAAACTGCAAGAGGAGATGAGGAAACTGGCTGCACAAAGGGTAAGTAGTTCAGTGTTGAAATATGTGATGTTAGGCGCGGTAATGCATTTTAAATCATCAAAGGCTGTCTTCACCTACAATTGATTTGCATACACTGCTGTTTATCAGTCTGTTTCTGTCTGTTCTATTCTCTCCTGGGCAAAATTACTAAAATTAATGATCCAGTGACGACAGTCTGTACTCTGCTGTATTAGCGTTGTGTATTATTATTATTATTACTCCTCTTCAGATTGATGCAGTGACTAAAGTCCATATCCCCTGTTAAATTATCCGGTTTTTATGGCGTCAAACATTTTTGAATAATCATTTCAAAACATTTTCCCACTTTCAATGCGAACTATTATGTGAGCATTTCAATTGAGAAAGGTGTTTAGACAGGCTTTGGTGGGCAGGAGGAACTTATAAAAGACTGCAGCACGACAGCCAAAGTGATCGAAGAGACGGGAGTAGGCGATAACGCTGTGCTGAAACCAGGAAATGCAGGATAGGATAAAGCTAAGAGCATAGCTATGAAGAAGTGGGACACTGAGAGACACGTAGAAAGAGGTGAGGAGACAAGAATGCAAGGAGATTTGACATAAGGTGGAGGGAGCAGAGGCCAAATAAGTAGCAATTGTATGCCAGGTTGCACAATAAAGAGCAGCAGATGAATGGATTGAAAGCAAGACTAATAGGAAAGATGCATAGCTGGTTTGTGATTAAGGATGGAAAAAAATGTTGAATAGATGGAAAGAAGACTTTGAAGAGCTGTTTGTTCCATGAGGATGAGTGGATGGAGGTGATTGTTATGAACCGGGAAGTAATAATCATTAGTAAGCGAAAATTCAGAAGGTCAATGAAGAGGAAACATGGAATGGCAAGTGATGTGGAAGTATAATAGAAGAGGTGGCTGTGGAGTTTTTGAGCAGTTGTTGAAATTTTAGCAGGTGAGAAGTAGAATAGGAAAAGTGGGCTGCTGTCCATTTGGAATAACAAGGGAGATGTACAGACTTGGAACTTTAGAAGAATGAAGTGCCAAACACTGAAGTTACTGGAAAGAATAGTACAGAGGTGCCGGTATTTGAGAGTAGCAGTTTGGTTTCATTTCAAGGAGGAATAGCACAGATGCATTAGTTGTCTTGAGAGTGTTGTTGGAGTACAGCAAGGCCGGAAGGGGCTGCATTGTATCTTTAGAAATCAGGAGAAAACCTGTGTCTGGATACCCCGGAGAGAAAATGTGGTGCCATGTGAGAGGCCAAGGAAGTATGTTAGAAGAGCACAAGGCATGAACAACAACTGTAGTGAGGTGTGGTGTGAGCGTGACAGAGGAGTTTAGGGTGCAGGCAGGACTGCAACAGGGATCAGCTTTGAGCCCCTTCCTTTTTGCAATAGTGAAGTATGGTCTTAGAGATGAAGTTTGATTGTAATCCCCATTGACCATGGATGTTTGCAGCTGACATTGTGATCTGCAGTAAAAATAGGGAGCCACTGGAGGAACATTTACAAAGTTGTAGACATGCACTGCAAAGGAGAGGAAAGAAGTTTTGAAATGATGATGATGATGTTCAGTCTTTTGTCACGCCTCATGGCAGTTCACACTTTCTGTTTCCATTACGAAGAGTACGGATATGATTCCACGATCAGAATAGTGCCTGCAGAAAAGCTTTATAGTTTGTGTTTGTATTTGTATAGGAGGAGACTAGGAAGAAACCCAAGATGACCATCGTGGAATCTGCCCAGCCAGGAAGTGAACCTCTCTGCACTGTTGATGTTTAAGCAGAAAGCTAGCCAAATACCACACTCACTGTTCCAGCACTGCAACATCGTCGCTATGTAGTATCACATCATCATGCCGTTAGAATTGCTTGCTTCTTTTGTCCGTGTGTAGTTGGATTGGCTGATAGACATCAGAGTAGGAAAAACAAAATGCACTAACAGACCATAGCGCAAATACCATCTACCTCTCTAGATGCATCCCAGCTATGGTACAAGGAGCAAGTCACCTAGGGTGCAGATAAGATGGCGTGTCATAAACATCGTAAATTTCAATGCATGCACGTCGGACTGCAAGAACCACTACCTACCATGGTTTTGTTTTTTAAAGTGTCTTAATAGCCGCATTTCAATACCAGCACCTGTGTTTTTATTAGCGCGTAACATATTTGAAAGGGACTACTTGTATTTATACCATTGAATTGGGATTAAAATGGCTTGTATTTTATTGTCTGGTGTTATGGCTAGTATGGGGGACTGCAAATATGCTTTATTAATTTTCCTTGAGAATTGATTTGGTTTGCATGCTTGAAAACGTTGTGAAGTGATGAGTACTCGGAACAATTATGCACTTGTGTCCTGTCCAACAGATTTGTCGCCCGGGCCACACATTCATTTTCTTGGGACTTGGCTTTACAACTCTCTATTTGGGTACTAATGCCATGCACACCAGTTAACATTTCATTAGCTTTGTGTTTCGGTGCCCTTAACCTAAATTAAACGCTCTACATGTGGCCTTAGCTAATCCATTTCACAAAGGGCTTTGAGTCTATTGATTGGACCTAAAACTTGCCCAGGGAATGGAAAAGACCAAGCCCCCCTCTACAAAATAAAGCATTTACCTAGCAAATTAGTGTTTTTAAAGAGAAGTATGTCCACAGCATGAGCTGAGATGTGTCTTAATGTACTTTGTATCGGTTTTGTATGTTTACCTTTCTTCTGACAGCTGACCATGCATATGACCTTAAATATGATATATAGCGCAGAATGCAAACCTTGAACAATTTAGTTCGAAGGCCGTCAAAAGTTTAGTCCAACAGTCGCTTCTGAAACTGCATATACCAAAGCCTAAAATCCAGTCATATGCATTTTTTAGACTACCTAATGTTGCTGCAAACGCTACCGTTAAACGACTATACAAGATAAAGACACGCTAATATAGAAGACTGCTGTGCATTAAAGTATTTAACTTGTGACATCTTTTGAATGTGAGGCTGTTGTGATTTTGGTTAGTTTTAAGAATATGCTATTTCTTTTCCATTTTGTGCGCGTGCTGTCTTGCCAAGTGTTTCAGTGTGAGACTTGCTTTTACATGTTATGCTCCTGACTTGCACCAGTGACTTCTTTGGGATGGTGTTGCCCTACGATATGAAGTACAGTATGTGTTGTAACAGGAATTCCATGACTGGTGATGTTTGTTATGCAAAATAAAATGTATTGAATAATCTGCCTGTGGTATTCAAAATATTATTTACACAGTAAAATATTTTAGATTCTGAAGCAGTGTTTTGGAAGTGAATGTTTTATTCCAAAAGAAAGAGGCAGCCTAATTCAAGGGGTGAAACTATTAAAAAGAAAAAGTACAGCTACTTTTACTACGGAAGCTACATTTCGGATGAGAGGGAGCGTAAAAGGCGTACATCTACTGAACAGAATGAATTGCAATCGTTTAAAATTTGCAAACAAACTTAAGATGAACATAAAGTTTCTTTCTGATCGTTGGTCTGTCGCTGGGAGTTGTAGTCCACTCTCTCAAAGAGGAGAACCGTTTCAAAATGTGCTGTCTGAGGAAACAAATCCACGGCCATGGCTCGCACAGGCTGGAATGGCGCTCCGTGAACTCTGTTGGAGGGTGCCCTGCACAGGCTATAAACAAGTTTTAGAAGCTTGTCGAAACATGTTTTCAAAGTGGCAATTAGGCGTATGAAAAGGTTTAAAACTCACTCAATGAAGTTATTCATGGCCGCTTTGGCATTGCACGCCACATAAATCAGCCTCTTGAGATGCTCTGCTCTCCTAATGGCGAGTATCACCTTGGAATCTGTTTAGTTAACACGGCACCATTATATAAATAAAACATGATCGCATTAAAACATGAGGTTTTATAGACGTACGTAAGCCTGCCCTTGGTGGATCTACGATGGCTGTCACGTTGGGTGACACAAGAGCATTGAGAATATTGGGGAACAAATCTTCAGCTTTCCCGCAGTGAAACTCGACATTGCTGAGCCCTTGGGTTGAGAAAGATGAAAAGCCATGAGCTCGTCACTATATGAACACAGGCTGAAGTTTCAAGATGCCTATTAGACAACTTGCACCAGCCGTATTTTACATCCATCGTTCATACCCGAGGGCACTCACCGTTAAGTTTTGCATTAACTTCGGCATCCTCCACTGCCTCCTGGCAAAGTTCGATTCCAATTACTTTCTTGACCCTCTGTAGAACCCCCCACCCAAAAAACACACAAATCTCATTTACGTTTCTGGGCATCACAGCTCGTCCAGCAATTATGCAGTTGTGTGTGCGCGTGTAAAAGTATCGCCCTCAAGTGATGCGCCCTACAAAAAATGCATACAAAACAAGTATGCCCCATTACCTTAGCCAGAGAAATGCCAATAGTTCCTGTCCCACAGCACACATCCAGAACTGTGCTTTCCTGATCCAGTTGCGCCCACTCCCCAACTGCAGAATACAGAACTTCTGCTCCTGCTGTATTTACCTATCAGGTTGTACAAACAATGGAAGAGGTTCAGCGTGAGCTTGTTGAACGAAGAGAAAAAAAAAAATATATATATATATATCTCTCTCTCTCTCTCTCTCTCTCTCTCTCTCTCTCTCTCTCTCTCTCTCTCTCTCCCTCTCTCTCTCTCTCTCTCTCTCATGTGAGTGTGAGACAAATGCTGTGTATTGACCAGAAATTACAGTGCATGTCCCACCATGAAGGCCAAGTCGTAAAATGCAACGTTTCTTACCTGGAAGAAGGAATGAGGAGATATTCTGAATTTTAAACCAAGAAGTTCCTCGTGGATGCAGCCATCTCCTGCAACCAGCTCACAGGGCAAATCTTCAATGTTCGGAGATTTCCTTCAGCCGCCAGGAAAAAAAAATCTTCAATAAAAACGTTACTGTCATCTAATCACAGAGGCTTGCAACGTTGACATTACATACCTTTATACTGTCACTTGCATAATAAACATACTTTGTCAATTCATTGGGTACATCTGCACAATATCATTGTATCCTGTGATACAATGCATTGTCTCCTCACTTAAGGTTTAAGATCATGAAACGTGTAAATATCAGACAAAGATAACCCAAGTTAACATAAATTGGGAAGCAGAACCCACATCTTCAGTTTGCAATCACAAACTTTTATCCAAACATTCTCCCTAAGGATATTGTGGTGAGGTGGCTTCAGTTTGCTATCACAAACTTTTGTCCAAACATTCTCCCTAAGGATATTGTGGTGAGGTGCAGAATTGATGGTTCCATCAATCACAGCAAGTAAAGGCCTGAAGTCGCACCGGACCATCACACAACCACCGCTATGTTTGACTGGTGGTATGATGTTCTTTCTTCTGAAATGCTATGTTAAATTTACACCAGATATTATTGAGATACATAGCTCCCAGTTCAACTTTCGGCCCATCAGTCCATAGAATACGCTGCCAAACATCTTGGGACTCATTCAGATATTGTTTTTTCTTCTTTTGCATGAGTAAGATGAGCCTTTGTGTTCTTTATGCTGTCATTTTTTGCTCAGTCTCCTCCTGTTTGTGGTGGCGAGTGAGGCCAGCGGTTCTTCTCACCATGATTTGCTTCTGTCCGGCGGCTTTAGGAATGGTTTTATATCCCTTTCCAAACTGATAAATGTCAATGACTTTATTTGTTATCGGTCCTTGAATTCCTTTCGCCCACGGTATTTTATTGTAGCTTTTTGAAATCTTTTGGCCGGCTTCATTTTGTTGGACAGGTTCTAGTTAGTTATTTCTTGATTGAACACATCTGGAGATAATCAGGCTTTGCTATGGTCAGTGAAAATGAACAGAAAACTGTGATAAGCCACGTTAAATTCATGACAGAACAAGAAGGGTTGAGTACCGGTACTTTTTCACACAGGGCCGGGGAGCTTCAAATACTGTATATGTATTTTTTTCTCTTAATAAATCAAATCACCGTTTTAACAACTGCGTTTTATGTTTACTTTGTGGTTATCTTTGTCTGAGCCTTACATTTGTTTGATGATCTTAAAAATTCAAGTGGGCAGACTGCAACAAAACACGAGAATTTTACAAGAAATACTCTTTCGTGGCACTGTACATTAGCTGCGTTGAAAACCCTGCCTGAACAAACAATTGTTCTGAGTCTTGATTCATACGCTGCACCCCTTGCCCCAAGCAAAATTAATTCAAGTCAACACCAGGTGACTTTTCTCCTCACCTTTGGCCCTCTCTGACAAAGTAAAGAGAGGTGATGCCGCTGTCTTTGCCCTCTTCCTCTGAAAAGTATTTCTTCATGGAGCTCTTTAATGCATCAAGTTCTGTTTCTTCAAGTTTCTAGCAAATTGTTGAAAATGTTTCATTTAGAAAGAGCACCTCCAGGGAAAAGTCATCAGTAAAGAAATGTGAATGCCTATCTTATTATCACAACTCTGTCTGTGTATTACCTGCGGGTTGAAGAAGACTATCGCCATGGCTTGCTTGGTCCTGGTGGTCCGAACAGTCAGCTGCTTCCAGTGTCCTTCGTAAGTTTCAGGACTGTACACGGTGTAAGGTGTTAACCTGTGCAATCAGTTAACATTAGTACGGCAAAGGGAATCAAATATGAAATATGCTATTACCAACCCTACCATAACATTTCGCCTGTGTTCTTTTATCTTTATGCATTTCCTCATCTCATATATCAATCTGGATGGAATACATTTCTTTTATGACAAGAGATATTCTTCCAAAGCTAACCTCAATTAAGTTAGTTTATATTGGTCAAAACAGGTTAGTTTTTTGGTTTATTTGTTTTAAATTGTGATTAACAGCGTGTTGATGTGTCTTTAGAACGATTGCACGTTAACAAATGCTGTGAAATGTCGTCTTCTCTCTTATAATCTTTTGTACTCATGTCGGGCATTGTTTTGGTCTTTTGAATGAATAGATTCTTGATGAAACTACCTCCATCCATCCGTCCATTTTTACGATCCGCTTTATCCTCACAAGGGTCGCGGCGGGTGCCGGAGCCTATCCCAGCCATCTTCGGGCAGTAGGCGGGGGACACCCTGAACTGGTTGCCAGCCAATCGCAGGGCACACAGAGACAAACAACCATCCACGCTCACACTCACACCTTGGGACAATTTAGAGTGTTCAATCGGCCTGCCATGCACGTTTTTGGAATGAGGGAGGAAATCGGAGTACCCGGTCGAAAACCCATGCAGGCCCGGGGAGAACATGCAAACTCCACACTGGGAGGCCGGAGCTGGAATTGAACCCAGTACCTCTGCACTGAGGTCGGCGCGCTAACCACTGGACTACCGGGCCACCCAAATTACCTCCTATTTGCAATTAAGAGTCTATATTTCTCTGCCCCTTGTATCATAGCTCACCGACAGTAATTTATTAGGGGAGTTTAATTCAAAACTTAGTGTCTGCTCTACGCAGAGCAAAGTGAAATGATTTAATTTCACCAATAAATAAGTTATGCATATAGAAATTGGTAGGTTCTGGTATCGTGTATCTGTAACTTGATAACATGATAAGCTGAGCACTGTGGTAACGTTTGTCCCTGAAAGGGTTAATTAATATAGGGGTTTGACTTTTTGAATATAACTCCCGGACTAAAATGAATTGTAGTAAATATTAAGCCTACCTACATTATATTTTATGATTTATTTCTTGACACACACCTGATGAATTTTTGAAAATCATGGACAATTTTCTTGGCCTCGGCTGAGACATGGCACGCCTCCTCTGGCCCCACCACAGCACAGGAGCCTCCTTTATATTTCCCCAGGCGGAAGCCGACAGTCTTATCTTCCCCGTCCGCACCCACAGAGATGAGGAATTCGCACTTGTTTCTGTACTCCGTCTGCCAGTATACACAAGGGTTGGACACCACTGCATTTGAATAGGCAATATTTAACCCCAACCACCATTTGAATGGATGTTTTATGTTCTGTTGTGTTATTGTACTGATGTTTAATCATGTTATTCAGTGACCTTGAGTGCCCTGAAAGATGGCAATAAATAAAATTTATTATTTATTAATGATTATTAAATGAGCCACAAAAATACCTCAGCCATTTAAATAAATGGTGCTTATATCGTACATACCTGACCAGTCTACATACAGTACAGTTTGTAGACATAGAGAGGGTATTTGACCGTGTCACTTATTCAATCTGTTGCGGCGAGTTACAGGAGACGCTGTACCAGAACCCCATTCTATCCCTGTACAACCCACAGTGCGTCCAATTAATTTTCTATGAGTGTTGGACTCTGTCAAGATTGCCCTTGGTCACCGATTATGTTTCTAACCTTTTTGGATAGAATTTCGGAGCACAGTTGAAGCCTTAAGGGGTCTGCTTTGGTGTCCTGAGTATTACATCTGTGCTTTTTCTAGAGCTGTCTTCAGCTCTCGGGTGCAGCTGTTCGCAGATGACACATAGGGTAAGAAGCTCGACCAACCCGGAGAGCTTCATAGTAGTGCCTCTGCTCCTTCACATTGAGAGGAGCCAGGTGAGGTGGCTCAAGCATACAAAGGTGTTTTAGGCATGTCGCACCAGAAGAAGGCATCGGGGAAGACTCAAGGCACGCTGGAAAGATCCTATTTCCGAGCTAGCTTGGGAACAATGGCTGCTGAGGGGAAAGTTCCCTTTGCCTAAGCTGTTGCGCACGTGACCTGACCCCAGATGAGTGGAAGAAGATAGATGTATAATGATAATAAGAATAATAATAATACATTTCATTTATAAGCGCCTTTCAAGACACTCAAGGACACTTTACAACCAAAACAAGAACAATAAAACCACAGATAAAATTTTAAATAATAAAAGGAGAGATGAATTTAAACTGAATATGCAATTTTAAACAGTTATTTTAAATAGTTGACGGTGGCAACATCGCCGTCGCGAGGAGCACTAGCCGACCCAGCCAGGCAGGCCAACACACCGTGGTCCGCGGATCGGCTGCCGTTTCTGCCGTTGTCTCTGCGTGGCCAGCGGGAGGACGACCAAAAGGAGGTGATGCCCCTGGAGCCATCGAGGTGGAAGCCCCGACGAGATTCGTGGCAGATACACCTCCGGGAAGGACGAGGAGCGACGCCCGGGAAGCGGTACAGCGCAGGCGGGGAGCCCGACCACCGGAAGCGGAGCCCAAGAAGCCCCGCCACCGAGCACCGCAGCAGTCCCGTGAGACGGTGGAGCGACAGGACGGTCCACAGCAGCATAGCCCAGACACAGGCCCCGTCGACCCCCACCACGGAGGCAGAGGGGTGGAGAAGGCACGGGCCCCCGTCCGACAGCCGAACAGGCAGGGCGCCGCGACAGCGCGACCGAGGACAACCGTGCGACGACCGACCACAAAGAATTGCGACAGGAATGTAGGGTTTCTCCCATGACGAGAGTAAACCGCTGATGAATATATCCCATTGATTAGACCACTACCCAAATGTTTGTTCGAGCTACTCCCAATGCTGCATGGCATTGTCAAGTATTGCCACAATTTAGATTGGACTCCCACCCGTGTCAGGTTTCATATTCTTCTGTGCGGTCAAAAGGTAAAATTGCTGCACTTTGCTCATGAAATAAAGACATGCAATGACCGTCACTGAGCTCAGAAAATTCTATTCCAGAAATTCCACAACATACAGGAAGTGTATATTGTTCTCAGACCAACCTGTGTCGGGGATGGACGAATTGCTTCTAGGGGACAGCACATTTTGTTGTGTTTCCCTTTCACATCAAAGAGCAATGGCAGCATGGCTTTGTTGGTGCTTGCAATCTCTCTAAGGGGGAAACAACACAGAACTCAGCATGAAAAAGGATCGTGAAAGGAGTTCCACTTTCCTGAGGTTGCCATAGAAATGAATGACTTGCGCTCACTTGGCCAGCCTCTGCAGAACCGCGACCACATCTTGCTCCTTCCTCCTCAGCTGCTCCTCATAGGGAACGTTCCACAGGGGAGTCACCACGTTGGCAATCTGAACACTCGGCGGCTGCTCCTTTTCGTCACCTTCTGCTCGTTTGGAAGGAGGCTGCCCTCCCTGACCTTCGCCTTCCTCCTGTTTCCTCTTCCTTTGAATTGGATCGGCTTTAGGCTTGGCCAGTCTGACGCTCAACACCTGGCCCTTCCACTGCATGCCGTGCATCATCTTCATGGCCTTGTCGCGATCCGCCTCGTTCTTAAAAGTGACAAAAGCAAACGTCTGCTTGCCAAACAGCTTGATCTTGTGTGGGTTGAGGCCGTGCTTGGCCAGGAATTTCTTCAAGTCATTGAAGCCGATGAACTTGGGAAGATTCCGGATCTCCACTTTGAAGATCTCAGACGTAAAAAGGTCTTGCTTGATGTAGCCATAAAGGCCGGGGTCCGATGACACCTCACCTTCCTCTGCAGGACTGACATGATCTGTGGAGTCAGCGGGGAGGTCAGCAGCGTCCCCTGTTTCCGGGGCACCTGCTTCACTCACAGGGCTGCTACTAAAGTCTTCCATGACACTGTTGCCAAGAAAAACAAAAAACTCATTTTAAGAATTTAAGAAACACACAATAAACACAAAATAAAGATTGTTGGTGATTAAAAGAAATGACACAGTCAAATGATGTCAAAACGTTTTCCACCATCCATGTAACCCATACATACATAACCTGTATAATTTAGCTGAAAAGTAAAATTAAGATGAGATAATGTGATTGCATAAGGGTTCGTTAAATTGTGGCAAGTGTGTGCTCAACATGAGCTTGAATGTAATTTATGATGAGTTATTTAGGAACACAGTCATACCCCAGTTATAAGAGGGTGTGAAGCCTTGTGAAACCACATAATCTCATGTCTAATTTTATGAACCGGTACCCTGTCTAAATGATTTTATTTTGTTTCCGATGATTTGTACGGAATGGAGGTCACATTAAAAATGGAAAAGGGTTTGAATTCATCTAATTATACTTACATTAACATAATTAAACACTGGGGGAATTTTGTTTTCAGAAAAGAGACTTTTTTCATAGCGTTGGAAAGCAACAGAACAAGCAGTTCAAAACAATATATTAGCAAAGCTAGAAAGACTTTGTTAGCCTAGCACGATATCAAAAGTAGAAAATTGATATTTGGAGCTGTGCCTTACCTTCTTGTGCTACTTTGAAACACACACTGACGGTTCAGGAAGCTGCCATATTGATGCAACCACGTGGCGTTGTATGTGAACTTTGAACTTTCTTAAAGTGACACATACACACATTTGTTTCCGGCCGAAGAGGTCTCGTCTCTCCCATGCATTTAATGAGTGGGAATTTTATGAATGAAGACGGCAAGAATGTGAAAAATGTTCAGCCAAGTGCAGTGCCTCTGAGAAGAATCCACATGACGCCAAACATTCCTCGCAACAACATGTACACAAATGCTTATTATTTAACAGGAACACGACATTGAATTATTATTATTATTACTACTACTACTACTACTACTACTACTACTACTACTACTACTACTACTACTATAAATAAGACGATACAGTTAATACACGTAAAATAGATTACGTCCAAACAGCTAAAATTCACCATTAAGCCGCACAAGTAGAAGCCCACCAACGGTGTTGCCATTATTTACCTAAGAATATGAGGTATTTTGCTTGTTGGGAATAAACAAAACAGTCGTGGCTGCACCCACGTACGTCCAATCGTGATGACGCAATGAGCAAAATCGGCGCGCGAAACCTGCAACAGGAAGTAAGAATCGCTGAGGAAAACGGCGACCTGTTTAGGATTTGAATCTTCAAGTTAACTTCATAATCTGCAAACATCTACAATATTATGGCAGACCCAAAGGTGAGATCGTGATTAGTAGCTCATCGAAAGTGTCCTGGTTGTTTCCAAATAAGAATTTGTGGAATAAACCCACATTGAGCGCTTCATAATTGACCGAAGTTTGAAAGCATTCAAACTGCCGACAATGAGTTGGAGATGCTACAGAAGCTAATTGGCGGCTTTCCTGCTTTACGTTTGAGCGGAAAAAAGATACCGGACTTAAAGTTTTCAAGGTGTGAGACTTGACTCGAGTTTCAAGCGTTTTTTTTTTTCCCTGAACGTTTTATCCAGTGCGCCGAATTGTGCTGCAGCCGGTGAGCACGTCGCCATTAGCTGCTTAGCGTAGTTGGATGCTAACAGCTAAATCAGTGCTAAACTCCTCTTTGAATGTTGCCAAGTTCATCACGGGCCTCTGATCCAAGTCTCGCTCATTTGTACAGCGTAGTGCTTTCGCCCTGCGGGTTTTATGGGGTGGTGTTAGTTCGGTTGCCTTGCCTTTGTTCGCCAGGCATAGCGGTTGCTAACTGCCATCTAGCTAATATTAGTGTGTGTCAGCGTGTTTCACACATTATCGTGCAGATTGCGCAATCGCTAGTCACCTAATAGACTGGCTAAACGAATCCACGCCATTCTTTTTTACGGTGAACGGATTTGATTGTGGCACGTCATGAATGCACATTTGCTCTTCTCTAGCATCCTCGCGCAAGGCCTTGTTGCAGGACTAGCAAACTTTGGAGCGAGTCTTTGCTGACACAAAGTTAAAAATACAGGAAAGAAAACGAATGTGCCTTAGAAGGAACTTACTGGTTTTGTAGTCCAGCTAAATGTCGTGTATCTTTGCAGCCAGTGGTTCTGTTTTTTTTGGGGGGGGGGGGCTGCTGTCGACCACTCTTTTGTCGATGCCAATTCTTTACATTAATTTTCCCCGATGTGACTATTATCATCTATATATTTTTTAATTATCATTATGTAGCCCTTTTGAGGACAGCGTTGTTACAGTGGACATCTTATGTTACCAGGTTACAGGGTGCATGAAAGGGTTAATCACAGTGCACCTTTTTCCGTGGAGGTTTCATAGCTATCAACAGAAATATCTCATCTTTGTCTGTGACCCATTAGGACCAAGAAGAGCATGAAACCACTGCAGAAGTTGCAGAAGACTCCAGTCATGACCCACAATTTGAACCAATTGTGAGCCTTCCTGAGCAGGAAGTGAAAACGTTAGAAGAAGATGAAGAGGAACTTTTCAAAATGTAAGTGGCATACGAGTCTGCTTATTGTCTTTGATGCGTTGTCGTTATTGTGGGCGTCCTTGGTTTTTGCAGGCGAGCTAAACTGTACCGGTTTGCCTCTGAAATTGACCCACCCGAGTGGAAGGAGAGAGGCACCGGTGATGTCAAGCTGCTCAGGCACAGAGACAAGGGCACAATCCGCCTGCTGATGAGGAGAGATCGTACTTTGAAGCTTTGTGCCAATCATCAGAGTGAGTCTTGTTACTGCCTGAACTTGATTTCAGTGCATTTTAATACCAAATGGGAATTCGGAATGTGCTTCAAGCAGGTAAAATGATTACAAGTAGGCATGGGCCGATATTAGATTCTCACAGTATGATAACCATGAACAACCCCCCCCCCCAAAAAAAAAGAGAAATATTAAAAAAAAAAGATCATCAATGACATACTTATTGAGTGGGTATTGAAATCTTGATTTTTTTTAAAACGATGGCAACTCTTTAATCGGACCATGACTATTTCAATGTTATTTTTTGGTAAAGTTATTTGGCTAATTATAATATCGCTTTGTTACATGAGTTAGCCATCCTGTGTCCAGTCCATGTTCATGTGGTTGCCCCTCTTGTGAATACCAGTTGTACCGATGATGGAGCTGAAGCCCAACGCTGGCAGCGACAGAGCTTGGGTCTGGAACACACTAGCGGATTATGCCGATGAAGAACCCAAACCCGAGCTTCTGGCTATACGCTTTTTAAATGCAGAAAGTAAGTCCTTATTTGTGAAACTGTATCTGCTCTTGGTCCAAATCTTTCCCTAGACTTTGAGTAGAAACCTTCAGAAGTTAGTTTTGGTCAATGTAATATGATACGAGCAAACTTGCACTGTGTGGAAATGTTGGTAAGCTCTATTCTCTCTCCAGATGCTCAGAAGTTCAAATTGAAGTTTGACGAATGCAAAGATGTCATCAGAAACAAATTAGAGGAGTCTGGTATGTAAGACACAATTATCCTTTCCTAATTCGTATCACCTGATAGAGTCTTAAAAGGACTATCTAATATTTTCGATAATGCTATTCATCAGTAGATATACACACACACATGTTGGATGTACAAATCACACCCAAGATGGGTTTATTTTCCACAGACACACTCTCTTCTTCGCTGCTGACTCCAGCTCAGGACTTTTTCTGTCTGCTACATAAACATGCAGAGTAGGGTGGTCCATTTTGGAAAAGTTTATCGGATTCGTCGGGCCGGGTCGGAAATCTTGTCGATACTATGACACAAGGATGTGTGCAAAATTTTATTCCGATCGGATAATTTTATCCCGTCCCGCAGAGCGACCAAAGTTTCCCCTATGGAAAGAATGTTACGGGGCTGAATGGTAGTACGGTTTCTCCCGTACAGTAAGGATTTTGTTTTGCTCAGTTCGCACTTGCAATAATTCAAAGACGGAAGACAGGAACGCATGTATTGCAAAAAAGGCAACCGTGGTTATCCTTCAACACTGGTGAGATTGTTGGTCCATGTTAACTGGTCCATCTGTCTATCTGTCCATCTGTCTATCATGTCCATCAACACTAGTGACACTGTTAGACCGCAAAAAAA